GAGAAGGCAAAGTAGAACTAAGGCTTCAATAATTGGTAAAGAAGTAGCAGGAACTTATATTAAGCAAGAATGAGGAATATTTGCTGTTTTGCCCGGTGATATTGTTTTTGTTGGTGCTTAGATGAAGTTATGAAGTGGTCTTATTTTGCATCATGGTCTCAGAATGATCTTGTCTCATATTAGTAAGATTACTTATGTCCCCCAGGAGAATAACATGGCCTAGCAACTATAAATATTAAAGCAGTTTCTAGATACCAGGTTTGTTGTTGTTTTTCTGTGTGTGTGTGTGTGTGTTTACTTCTCATCATTGTACCTAATACATGGTTACTTTCCGAAGTCAAGTAAATAAAGAGTTTATACTGTGTTCTGAAGAATACTTTTCATAGTCAGGTAGAGCAGAAAGAGGATGGCTATGGAGGGTGAGAAGTCATACATCTGTTGTCTGCCAGCTGGAGAACCAGGAAAGCCAATGGCTCAATTCAGCCTGAGTCCAAAGGCCCGAGAACCAGGAGAGCCTTTGATAGAAGTCTCAGAGTCTGAAAGCCTGTGGACCAGGTGCTCTGATGTACAAGTGCAATAAAATATGGATGCCCCAGCTCAAGAAGAGTGAGAATTTCTGAGAAACTTTTACTTTTTAAAAATAATATTTTTATTGATTTAAAAGGGGGAGAGAGAGAGAGAGAGAAACATGAATGATCAGAGAGAATCATTGGTTACTTCCTGCATGCACCCTATTGGGGATTGAGCCTGCAACCTGGGCATGTGCCTGACGAGGAATTGAACCATGACCTCTTGGTTCATAGATTGACACTTAACCACTGAGCCACACTGACCAGGCCCAAGAAACATATAGATTGTGTGTTTTACAATTAGTTTTGTCTTTGAATATTTTAAATACTGTAATAATACTTCTGGGTGAATTTGGAGAGCATAGTTTGTTTTAAAAGTACTTAATAAAATACTGTCCAGCAGTATTTTCCAAAGTACAAGGAAGGGCAAAAGTGGATTTACAGTTGTTTATATAGAAAATAATATAATAATTAATAAATAAAAATACAAGAACAAACTGTGTTTTGCATACTCACAACTTTTGTCCCATCCCATATTTTCTTCAAAATACTATAATGCCATATATATGTGTATATGTGTGTGTCCAATATAATAAAGAGGTAATATGCAAATTGACCATCACATGTCACAAGAGGGCAGCACCCACAGGAGGGGGGCAGTGGCGAGGCCGGTTGCTCCATAGGCCTGCTGCCGGGATCCCCTTAGCCCCGCCAGGGGCCTCAGGTCTTCCTGCACCCCTCACTGACTGAGGCTCCAGCAAGCAAGACTGGCCGAGGCACAGGCAAGCCTCGGATGGTGGCTGCCCAGCTGCCCACGGCCAGCCCGAGGTGCAGGCAAGACTCAGATGGCGGCTGCCCAGTTGCCCAGGGCCAGCCCAAGGCTCAGGTAACCAGGGCTGGCCGAGGCTTGCATTGCTTGCAGTGGCAGCTGCAGAGGTGTGATGTGAGCTTTGCCTTCCCCTGATCCGCCGGGTCCCCTCCCACCCCTAAGGGCTCCCGTACTGTGGAGGGGGCAGGCCAGGCTGAGGGACCTCCCACTCCAGTGTATGAATTTTCATGCACCGGGCCTCTAGTGTGTGTGTGTGTGTGTGTGTGTGTGTGTGTATAAATCCATAAAACATAGTTCCTTTATGTGTTCCTAAAAAGGGAGCAGGGATGAGCTCAATGATTACATAGGTTTTGAAAATGCATCATGATGTACATTAAGCTCTGAGAAAGCCTGTGATTTAAAAGATTAAAAATTCTTTCAACTTTTTTTAACCAATTTTTTTCTAAGCTCCTCTAACCCCACCTACTAGTACCCCATTTTGAGAAATACTGCTATATAGAGTTGATTAATATAAGTTTTAGAACAAAACATTTTCATCAGATTGCTTTTGCATATTATTATAGAGGTAACTGACGTTTCTGTGCATCTAGTTGTCACAAGAACCTTTTCAAAGGGTTGGCTGCATTGTCAGTGTAGTCAAACCATGGTCTCTAACTGCCTTCAATAGTGTGGCAACCTTTTATTGCCCACTAAGTGTTAGCTCTTGATTCATCTCACAGTTTGTACACTAGTCTAGTTGCTGGACTTCTGAGATGTATCTGAACAACAGAAATCCTGATAAAACATATAGTTTGTCATCTTAGCACTATAACTCTCTACACTTATTTTTAAAAACAATTTACTTATTAATGTAAATATATTGATAAAGTGTCAGTCTTGCTGGATCTTCTTGTATTGTGCTCCCGAATTTATTCTAGCCTGTTTGTAGTAAATTTCTGAGGGAGCCTTAGAGCTGGAGTAAAATCGTCCCTTCCTTATCTTTAGCCAGGGAAAGGAGGGAATTAGGTGTTTCTTGCAAAAAGAGATGAACCCTGCCATTCTCAAGCAGGCAACTTCACTCCTGAGCAATGGAAGCTGTAAAATATTATCCAGACATGTTCTTGGATGTATTCAATAAACATTTACTAAATGCCTGCTTTGTACCAGAAGCAACCAATCCTTGTTGCCCTCAAAGAGTTGTATCTAATTGTTGAGACAGCAGTTGTGTAAATGATAAATATTAAAACTGCAGTGTGCTTGGTGTTATAATAAGTAGATTTAGGAGGCTCTGGGGACACAACTTAGATTCTGAGCTTTGGTGAAGGAGCTAGAAAAGTCTGAATGTAGAGGATAAGGAGCATTTGGTCATGCAGGTCAGGATTAAAGGACATCACTGATAGGACAGCTTGTGTAAAAGGCATGGGGTTGTGAAAGGTAAAGTATTTGGAGATGCAAGTAGATTTGTTCTTGATAGGGTATTTATGGTAGCAGGTGGAGGAAGAGTCCGGAAAAGGAAGGAAGGAAGCAAGGAAGGAAGGAAGGAGCTCATGGCCATAATTGCTATGTTAGGCAGAGAATTTGAAAGACTGTCCATCCATAGATGGTTCTTAATATGTGCTAGCACTTTTCATATAATAAATAAGTTAATGAAAATTAATATTGAGTGAAGTGTGCTAAATTACTTAAATTTAATGTGTATTGCTTCATGTTTATAATACCTTTTTGATGATTTGTAGGACTTATCACTTAATAAGTTACCCTCCTATAAGTACATTAGCTCTATTCTTTAAAATCAGTTTTATTGAGATATAGTTTATTTACATCAGTTTTATATATAGAACTCAGTGAATTTTGACAATCTATACAGTCACATAACCAGTACTCCTCTAAACATGATATAGTTATTTTCATCACCCTGCATTCACTTTTAATTAGTTTAGTAAACCAAATAAATGAACTCTTTGAACCCTGGAAGAGGTACTATTTGAAGAATAAAGAAGTAAAAAAACTGTCAACTTTTAAACCAGCCTCCCTCCTCCCCCAATTTTTTCTATGAAAAACACATACAAAGAGAAGCTTTCTTGCCCTGGCCAGTGTGCTTAGTGGTTAGAGCTTCTGCTCATGCACCAAAGGGTTGTATGTTTGATCCTGATCCCCGGTCTCGGTCAGTATGAGCGTGGAAGGCAACCAGTTGATGTGTCTCTCTCGTATGGATCTCTCTCTCTCTCTCTCTCTCTCTCTCTCTCTCTCTCTCTCCCCCCCGCCCTGCACCCCCCCCCCCCCAACTTTCTTCGCTTCCTTCCATTCTCGTTAAAAATTAATGGGGGGCCAAAACTGGTTTGGCTCAGTGGATAGAGCGTTGACCTGCGGACTGAAGGTCCCAGGTTTGATTCTGGTCAGGGGCATGTACCTTGGTTGCGGGCACATCCCCAGTGGGAGGTGTACAGGAGACAACTGGTTGATGTTTCTCTCTCATCGATGTTTCTAACTCTCTATCCCTCTTCCTTCCTCTCTGTAAAAAATCAATAAAATATATATATTTTTTTAATTAATGGGGGGGGGGAAATCCTTGGACTAACAAAGAAAACAAAAACAAAAAGAGAAAGAGAGAAGCTCTCTGTACAGTGCTACTTTAGGGGCTTTTGTCTCTTGAAATCTTCAAAAGGAAAAGGAGGAAGTAAGAAGTTGTCTGTAGCCCTGGTGGGGTGTCTTGGTTAGAGCATAGCCTGTGCGCTGAAGGGGGGAACAGGTTTAATTCCTCTCAGGGCACATACCCAGGTTGCAGGTTCATTCTCCAGTTGGGCACATAGGGGAGGTAACCAATTAATATTTCTCTCACATCAATGTTTCTCTCCCCCCCCCCCCCACTTCCCCTTTCTTTCTCCCTCTCCCTTTAGAATCAATGAAAAACATATCCTCGAGTGAGAATTAAAAACAAAGAAATTCTTGAAAAGAAAAAAGGGAGTTGTCTGCATAATGACTGGTGTAAAGCTATATAAAGATGTTTGGGGGAAGAAACAACCACAAGAAAACAAAACCAAAATTATATTGAACTGGATACGTCAGACTTGAGGTCTAGCAAATAGCTCTGATACTTCATAGCAGAGAGTTGTAGCAGTAGTTTCATTTGTCTGAGGACTTGGTTTTCTCACTCATGGTGAATGGAATGGCATATTTCAAGCTGTATTATACTGAACTATGGAGTTTTGTGAGGTGTGGATAGGAGTAATAGGTTGGAGACAGGAGAATAAGGAATAAGGGGTAAATTTTAATCTGGGGAATAGTTGGACTTAGGTTTGATGCTGGCAAATAGAGGAGACAGTACATTCCTTCCTTCCCACCCCCAATTGTACTTCTATATATTAAGTTTACCTTTTATTGACTTGTTATAGCATTAAAGGTTAGGACACTTTTCTAAACATAATTCTACCTGTATTTGTGATTTGTTATGGGTAGGGACAAGTTTCTCCAGGAGAATGAATATTGTCATTAAACCATTGGGTTTATTTCCTTTCCCAGAAGTTATTACATATAAGAATAAATATATATTTACATATAAGAGTTATGAAGATTCATATTTTTAAACAATTATTTTATTCATTTTATTTGTTTGTTTTAACCAGTTACCCATGGGTGTATTGTATCTACAATAAAACTTTTTCTACCAGATGGTATGGAAGCCCGACTCCGCTCAGAGTGAGTATAATTCAGTGCTATAGAATTTTGTATTAATTACCTTGGTTAATAATATTATAGATGAGGGTATACCATTAATACTTTAGGATTATTCTAACGATGTTAGAAAAATCATGTATTACTTTTGGAATAATGCACTTTACTTTGTTTTTAATATTAGTTGTAATTCTAATAGGCAATAATGGAAGCAAAGTTTACATTTGTGCTTCCAAATTTAATTATAACCATTTATATTTTGATAAGTAATTAATTGTTTCTAAAATATTTAGGATATGTAAGGTATTGGTGATAGCTGCATTCATTTTGATTTGCATTTAAGGTAGGGCTTCCTAGACTTTGATTGCCTCTGAGGTTAATGCCAGTGTCACAATCTTATAGAATCTTAAGGATGTTGATATAGTTAGTATATTTTGGTGGGTGTTTTTGGAGAGATTTTTCAGTGCTGTAATTCTTTTCTAAAATTGATATCAGAGAAGAAGGGAGAGGGAAAGTGAGATAGAAACACTAATGATGAGAGAGAATCAACTGCCTTCTGTATGCCCCACACTGGGGATCGATCCCGCAACTTGAGCATGCTGTCTAACACTGAATTGAATCTTGACCTCCTGTTCATAGGTTGATGCTCTACCACCAAGCCACACCAGCTAAACTTTTTTAGAGATCATTTGGAGAAGGAAAAATCTAAAAGAAAAAAAATTAGTCAAAATCTAAATGTTAATATGTAAACATAAGTACATTTTGATTTATACTTTTTGCAGATTATCATTATGAGGTGTTGGAAAAAGCTAAACAGTCTAAAATTCAGCATATTTTATTTTGGGGGAAAACCTTGAATATGCTAGAAATTTGTTTCTATATTTATTTCCTGCTTTTCTAAAGCAAAGAAAAAGATCTGAGGATGAGAGGTTGAGAGAACCAAAGTGTAAGGCCAAGTACAGAGTAGTCAGTAGGAAAGCGAAATGGAAAAGGAAAGCAGAATGCATAACCCATGGACACAGAAATAGGGTGGTGGAGGCCTAGGGTGAGGGGCAGAGGTAGGTTATAAGGGGTGAGAGAGAAAAAAAGGGATATGTGTAATACTTTCAACAATAAAGATTTTTTTTTAAAAGAAAGAGGGTATGCCAATCTTAGAAAAAGAAAAAGCAGAGAGAAATTTTCCTATTGCTATGATAGTCTGTTCATTCATTAGAATGATATATTGCTCTTCAGTTAGAAGCTACCATTTTTTTTTTAAAGCTTCAAGGATATCTGAAACAAAGCAGAAATTTTAAAACATTATAAATTTAGCACTGGTCAGTGTGGCTCAGTTGATTAGAGCAATGTACTGGTACCAAAGGGTGGCGGATTCATCAGGTCACATGCCCAAATTGCAGGTTCCATCCCCATTTGGGACATGTGCAGGGAGGTGCCAATCAATGATGTTTCTTTCTCATATCACTGTTTCTCTCGTCCTCCCTCCCTTCCTCTTTTCCTTCTTCTCTCCTTCCCTCTCCTCCCTCTCCCCCTTCTTCAATTAAAAATAAATTAAATAAGAATTTTAAAAAGGCATAACTTTAATAATAAAATTAAAGACATTATAAATTTAAAACATTAATGTTTTCTATAGTTTAATTATTAAAAATAAAATTAACTTTGGGAACTTGATTGTGACTCCACTTTTATGAGTTAAGATTTTAAAAAAGAAGAGTAGCTGTTAATCAACTAATGAAGTATGGCTTCTTAAAGATCTTGATGTTTGTATTTGATAATGGGATTTTCCTTTCCTTTAGTCAAAAACTTTGAGCAATTACATAAAGGGTCATCTGTGTTCCAGGTTTCACCCAGTAGGACATGTGAATTTTTTCAAAATCTATTTCAGAGAATTGTGTCCCTATCCTTCTTGTTTCCCCAAATCTTTTCATCTTTGCCCCATTTCCTTCTCATTGTTTGATTTTACTTAGTGTTTAAATATTAGCATCACTTAAAATTTACTGTCAGTTTCATTGTACACAATCTGGCTTACTTTATGGATGAGATGAATTTTGAACAGGCAAGTCTCTAGAGCTAGATTAAGATCAGAATGGTTCGTTTCAAGGCCTATTCTGTGACTTGATCAGGCCTTCCTTTTCTCATTTGAAAATGAACATAGCCCTGGCCATTGTAACTGAGGGATAGGGCTGTTGTTGCTCAGTTTGTTGGAGTGTGGTCCAGTACACCAAAAGATGGGTTCGATTCCGGGTCAAGGCGCATACCCAGATTGGGGATTCAGTCTCCATTTGGGGCTCTTGTGTGCGGGAGGCAATTGATCAATGGTTTTCTCTCACATTGATGTTTCTCTCTCCCTCCCTTCCTCTAAGATTAATTAGAGAGAGAAAAAAACAAAATGGAAATAATAGTACCTATTTAGTAGGAATTTTATGAGAAGGATTAAGCAAGATTGTGTACTTAAAAGAGAGTAATACCTGGTATATAATAAGCACATGATACTTCTTTTATTGTAATTTAATACTTTTTAACAATCAAGATGCTTTTAAGTATGCAAGAATAGTTAGAGTTGAAGAGACATTGTATACATAACATTGAATGCTTTTAAAATCTTCAGTAGTTCTGAAAAAGTTGATTCTTTTTCTTCCTTGATTTTTATCATATTGTACAAATAATTTTTATTTGAATGAGGGAGGGAAGGAGTGAGGCAGGGAGAGAAAGAAAGAAAGAAAGAAAGAAAGAAAGAAAGAAAGAAAGAAAGAAAGAAAGAAAGAAAGAAAGAAAGAAAGAAAGAAAGAAAAGAGAAATTTGTTGTTCCACTTATTTATACATTCATTGATTCTTGTATGTGCTCTGACCAGGTATCAAACCTTAAAACTTGGGGTATCTTGTGAAGATTCTCTTAATCAACTGAGCTACCTGGACAGAGCTTTACAAATAATTTTTAAATGATAAGAAACAAATCCCACCATCCTAACACTAAATAACAATTTTCCTTTTCTACCTTTCTTGTTGTATATGAACTTTTTCCATAATTCAAATAGAATACATCCATATCCAAGATAGTTTTGGTAAAGTACAAATATATAAAAATATAAAATGTTTTGATATTTAGCTTTTTATTTGTTAAGATTTTCATGAGAACAGAAAAATTTATACTTGAGTCACTAAGAATACTGGAGTTGTACATAATTTTAAAAAAATCTTTGCGAATACATGATTTTTTTTATTATTTTTTATTATTTGAAGCATTACAAATAGTAGTACATATGTCTCCTTTGTCCCCCCCTTTGACCTCCCCCCAGCCTCCCCTACCCCCTGTACATAATTTTTTTAAATCTTCATTAGGTACCGCTTTATTAGGGTCTTGTGATAGGTTATGAGGATAGAGATGTGAATTGTTCACAGTGCTGGAGAACACAGATGGGAAATCACACAAGGAGAGTGAAGAATTATAAGGTCTCAGTGAGGCTGTACAAGATATTTATCAAAGGTATTCAGAAGGGAGGGAGGTGCTAGTACTTAATGTTCCTTTTTATTTAGCACTTTAGTATATTCATGATTAATTGAATTAAAACAATTTTTAGGATGTTTGCTACAGTGGGATCAGAATTGTCATTTCTATTTTTAACTGGGACTTACACATGATTAACCAATTGAATTTGGGGTTTTACTCAGTCAGCCTTCAAGCTGACTCTCACCAGAGTGACCTCTAGGATATCGTGCCCTTAGCAACTGGTAGGGAATATGGATGGCATCTTTGCTCCCTCTGCTCACGCCCAACCCACATCCATCGTCTTACAGAACATTGGAAGATAGGAGCCCTGGCTCACTTACACTGCAGTGTTCTGATGGGAGTGGTGGTAGTGACCCAGTGCTACTGTGCCCTTGGTACTGTTTTAAACTCTTTATTTATACTAGCACATTCAGTACTCACGTAACCCATGGGGTTGGTTTTATGATTATTCCCTTTGTGTGGATAAGAAAGCTGAAACCCAAGATTACACAGCTGGTACATGGAACTGACCAGTCAGTGTAACTTCGGAGCCTGCATGCCTGTTACACTTCACTGCCTCTCTCAGTAGTAACTTTTTAAGGCCAAAGACAATTAGTACCAGTACTATTTGTTTACTGTGTGTCTTTAAGAGGATATACGGAATTTAGTTTCATACCTACGTCTAAGCTTTCAGTTGTTAGTCGTGTGAGGAGGCTGGGTGGAGAAGGCTAGTCCTACTCTTTTGATTAGCTAAAGTTGTTCTCTACTCAAACAGACTTCCAAAGTATAGCTTTCTTTTCAATAGAACTATGTTTTTTAAGACGTTCTATCTAGGAATATTTAATTTTAAAATAACTTAATTTACATATTCCAAAATTGAAAATGGATAATTTAAGGAGTGCTTCTTTTTTCATATAGAAATTCTTATAACCAAGGAATTCACCATAGCTCTTATTAAGTAGAGGATTCTTAAAGAGCATTTAATATATTTTGGGTTTTAAATTTGTGTTTGGAAATATATTTTGTATGAAAGGCTTGTGTATTTATTATCTTATTTTCTATGAAGGATTAATAATAATTCACATTCTTATGATCATATGAAGGCAATTATATATCAACTTAGGGGTTTAAGATATTCTGGTACTGTCATATTCTGTTTCCTTTGTGGTCCGGAAATTAGATAAAAATTCTAAATTTTACTTTTCAGTGTCATCCATGCTCCATTACCAAGTCCCGTTGACAAAGTAAGTTGCCAATGATTGTGTTTTTTTCCAAATCAACTCAGCTCTGTTGCTTTGAAAAATGTTTCTGTTTGTTTTTAATATGCTTTACTTAGAAACTTATTTCTCTTTCATAACAAAAACCTATAGAATGCATACAGATATATGGTTGCTGTAGTCTCCTTATCTGGAGAATTTAGAATGAATGTTTCTTAGAAAAAGCCTTTGTTATCTCAAGTAGATGGCTATGTAGATTCGGAGTACTTGTTTTGTGTCAAGACAAAAGTAAGAAGTGTTTGTTACTACTCTTTATTTTGGAATACAATTCTGTCTCGAAGTATTTATTAAAGCTTTCTGCACAGAAATTTCACTCTACTTATATCTACACATGGAAATAACACAGAAATATGGGCTTATAGATATGACTCTTTTATTGTCCTTGAAGATTGATCAGTTTTAGCCTGATTTGGTCAGAAACTGCAAAATTACTTGTTATAAAATGTTTTTTTCTTTTGTTCAGAAATAATGGTGCGTTAAACTGTCGATATCATTGCTAAATAGTGAAGGAAAAAACCCCAGCATCTTTTGTATCTTTTGACATTAATGTAGATGTGAGTTTTCTTAGTGCAATAACTAAATTATTGAGGAAAATACTTTACATTTTTTTCTCCCAAATGGATAAAGAATGAAAGCCTGTTTGAAACAAAAGTGCTCTGTTAGATTCCTTTTTTAGAAGTAAAAGTGGTTAGTCACCAACTTCAGGAATACCAAGAATTACTTCAGAAGTAAATGATGGCCTTGCTGATTTAGGACTAATTTTAAAAAATAATGCCGCCACACTGTCTTCTCATTAGCATATTAATAAATATGAGTCTAATCAAGAATGATTCTATTAATGATTCTATTAATAACTTGGTAATAATGTGATCATGAATAAGTTAAGATATTAGGCTTGGTAGTGTTGAGAGTGTGGGTAAATGTCTCAGCAACCTATTAGTGCCTGTCTTTTGTTTGTTGTTTGGAGTAATGCCATGGTTTTGATTCCACACCTGGAAGAAACACATTATGGCAGGTATTCTTATACTCTTGAGTTCTAAGCATTTGACTGTTACTTGTAATGTTTAAACACCATAATTTCCCATCTTTTTCTTCTTAAAACCCAACTGTAGTTTAAGGGAGGGAGAGGGGGGAGAAAACTATTTTCATTGGCTCTGGCCATTGGATATAGTGTTACTTTTCATGTCCTTCTTCTCCCTGTACCCCCCATACAATACCATTTTGAAGATGGCTACTTCTAAATGAATTGTTGACATATTAAAGAACTATTTAAATATAAATTTGAAAGGGGAGGGAAATGTAGATAGGTCTATTGATTTAGTTGGTATTATTTCTGGATTAAGAAAAGGCTCTGTAGCTATAAGTTTGTGATTTGGTTTATAAGGAATACTTTCATGAGAAGGACTTGTTCTATCGCCCTTCTTATAAAACTCAAACTGGTCAGCATGATAAATACTATTTATAAATTTAAGACATAGGGTAGAAATATTTTGAAAACGAAAGGAGCTGGTTAATTTGAAAAATACTTTATTTTGCATTATTTCAGTGAATGGGCATTTTTAGGATTTGGTTTGGCTTTAAAGTATTTCATAAATACTTTGTGTGACTGTTTATACTATCATTTTGTTTCTAGGTTGCTGCTAACACTCCAAGTATGTACTCTCAGGAACTATTCCAGCTTTCTCAGTATCTACAGGTAAAAATAAATCTTAAGAATTTTTAGTCTTTAAAATAAAATTAAACAACTTACGTTTGATTTTGTTAGTTCACAAATATAGGCTAAAGAAATATTGGGTTAGATATATATTTACTAAATAAATATCTTTTTATAGTAAAAAAGGATTACAAATAGGTCTTAAGAAGAAAGGATAAAAAAATAGGATTGTTAAGTCTAGAGAAGATAAGGTTCTGTTTGCAAGAGAAGTTTTTTTCTGCAATATGAAGATGTGTCAGAAAAAGATCTTTACCTATAGAGATGGTTGCTTAATATATTAATAGGAAATAATTATATAGTACTTAACATGCCACACTCTAGCACTTCACCTAATTCATTTAATCCTCACAGCAATCCTATAAGGTACCGTATGTATTTTATTCCCTTTTTATTTATTTATTTATGTATTTTTTTAAAATCAATCTTTATTGTTCATATTATTACAAAGGTTCCTCATTTCTTCCCCCTTCCACCAGGTTTCCACTCCACCCTCCGCCCCCTCACCACCCCCCATTGTCCTCATTCATAGGTGCACAGTTTATGTTCAGTCTCTTCCTCCCTTCCTTTCCCCCAGAACAGTCAGTCCACTCCCCTCCCATAAATGGACACATTGTTTAAACATAGCTGCTGGTTGGAATTGGATTACCTGTTCTGGGTGGGAAGGGCTTGTCATTCCCTTTAAAATTAAGGTGTTAGCTTTAAAACCTCTTTTTGGCAAGAGACCTTAAACTTTCAGAACTTTAAATTTTTCAGATAGTAAACCAGTTACTTAGCATTTTCTCAAATCAATAATACCTCCACATGCCCAAGGATACACTTCACACAAAAGACATTTCCAAATAGATCAACCGACCTTATCCAGGCCCCACACAAGGCACTCACAGATCAAACACCCCAACGCTATACTGATTTAACACATCCAGATCTAAGCCTTCCTCATTTGATTCAGCAGACACTCAAGATCCCCCAAAAGTTTCCAGCCATGTCTGAGAGGCAGCCTTGGGGCGGAGGCAGGCGAGGAGTGAGCTGTTCTGGCTGCTCTGGGCCTGGCCTCTGTTGCTCTGGTCCGTTCCACAACCAGCTGCTTCAGGTCTGGCCACTGCCGCTCCCGACCTGGCTGCTCCGGGCGTGGCTGCTGCTGCTCCGAGCCTGGCCGCACCCAACCTGGATGCTCCGGGCCCGGCCGCTCCGGGCCTGGCCGCTCCCAGCCTGGCTGCTGCTGCTCCTGGCCTGGCCGCACCCGACCCGGCTGCTCTGGGCCCGGCTTTTATTCCCATTTTTATAGACGGAGTAACTGAGGGACAGGAAAGTTAAATACATTACACACTTAGTATGTATTAGAGTTGGAATTTGAACCCACATAGTCAAATCTCAGAGTCTCTACTCTTAAGGACTGTGCTGTGCTGCTGGCTCTATAAAAGTTTCTTCATGGGGCAGATACTTGCAATGGAAGTTAAAACATACTAAAAGAGACATACAATTCTCTAAAAAGGAAACAAATACTAGTTTCTTTCTGGTTTTGGTAGATTTGGGCTGGATTATGATTCTTATTATTCTGGTGAGGGAGCATGGTTAAGGAAAACCCTGGATCCAGAATTTAGAGAGGTTTTTATCTTGGCTCAGCTACTCAGAGAGTTCTGTGACCTTGGGTGAGTCATTATACAGTGTAATTCTTCAGTTGCCTTTTGTTTAAAGCAATAGGATTAAGCCAGTGATCATGGGTCCCTACATTGTTTTATAGCAATCAATTAGAACAGATCTACCTCAGTTAAGAATGTACATATCTTTGAAAATAAAATTATCAATGTATTAATCAGATCTTATCTTCCCCTGAAGATAATGTAATGGTGCATAGAAAAGCAGCCTTACACACTTGCAGTTTAGTCGAGTATTTAAGAGCATAGACTCTAACCAGGATTCCCTGGACTTGATCTGTGGCTTTACCTCCTGACCTGTTGTAGGTACTAACCCTTTTGTGCACCATTTTTCTCATCTGTGATATGGGTATAGTAATAGCACTTACCTCATAGGATTGTGAAGAATAAATGAATTAATATATCTAAAGCACTTAAAACAGTGCCTGGCACATGAAATGTATTTCATAAATGTTAGTAGTTATTTACAATACAGTAAGAAGGCACAATAATTGACCTAGATCACTCATATAGAGAGATGGAAGTAAACTCTGGGATTAATTTAGTCCAAATGTCATTTTTGATATAAGAAATTGGGCTCGTATAGGTAAAATGACTTCCCAAGGCTATTTACTATTGTTACTAGTCATCATGGATGATGAATCCAATCACTCGAGTATTCTATTTCTTACCAGTTTTTTAAATACTCATAGTAGGAGTAATGGTCTTTTATTAATTCTCTGAGAGAAAATTATACTGCACTGTCTTTTCTGTATACATCTTTTTGAATTGGTAAAGTTCTAATGTAAGTTGTAAATCTTTTGAATGAAAACTAGGATAGATGCAATTCATCCCTTAGAACCAAAAGCCTATTCCTGAAAGTATTAGAATGCTGCTAGGATGTGGTTCATGAAGTTATGAAGTTTTAAGTCGGGTTGAGTAAAAAAAAAAAAAAGTGTAATTACATCATCTAGTGGAAGTAGTGATTGTTTGGTGGTTTGTTTTTAAGTAAAATTTGCAGCTTGAGTGTACTAGTAATTTCCTGAATATTAGGAATGTTTTAGAAGTTTAAAATAAACTTGGCAACTAGTCTCTTGTAAGTGTTAGCTGTGTTTTAATGTGGGCAGGATGGCTTTTATTAGGTTCTTTAATCTATACTCTTAGAGTCATATTAAAAACCGGTACCTCTAACTCCAATCAGACCAGATTTTTCCTAACCATTATTTATCAAGGATGTGGAGAGCAGTAAGTGCATGCTTTAAACCTCAAGTTCTATATTTGAAGCATATGCTTCTCTATTGAGGTGGCTCAGAGGCATTAGGGTGGTAAGTGTTCTTCAGGTAATGACAGAAATAGAAGAAAAGAAGTTTTAAAGATGTGCCAAAACCACAACTGTGTGAGCATTTTCACCTTGACTTCCATGAAGGAGACCCTCTTAATAGCTATCAAACATTAACAAGTGACCTAGAGATAAGGCTTTACTTGCCAATGTCTTTCTCTGTAAAAATGTTTCTTTGCAGCTGCCAAGTAGTTTTATGTAACTCCTTGACTCCTTAATTACATTCAAATAGTACTTGGATTCTTACTTATTTTTGGCATATTTAATTGCAAAGTCGTATATAGTCACAGAGATAATCAGGATACCTGAAAATGCAATATGCTTTGGGAATGAAGCAATTTCTAGTGTGTGTGTGTGTGTGTGTTTGTGTTTTAAATAATGCATATATATATTTATATTTATATGTATATGTATATGTATATAACATTTTAAACAGGAAAAATTAAAAGATATTTTTATTTTAGCTGTCATACCCATGCAGCTAAGCCATTAAGATATATTTGCTCCCAGCTTGTGTGGCTTAGTTGGATGAGCATAGTCCCATGCACCAAGAATTTGCTGTTCAATTCCCCATCAGAGTACATGCCCAGGTTGCAGGCTTGATTCCCAGAAGGGGGCGTGCAGGAGGCAGCCAATTACTGTTTCTCATTGATGTTTCTAACTCCTTTCCTTTCTCTAAAAATCCATACAAGCATTTTTTTTTTTAAAGAACTATTTGACAAGATTGTTTTGACTTAGTTTGCAGTAAATTTGATTAGTTTGTTATGATATTGACAAGATTGAATTGATTTATTTTAAAAATCAATTTTTGTTGATTTTTAGAGAGAAAAGAATATCAATGGGAGAGGGAAGCATTGTTCAGTTGCCTCCTGCACACCCCCTACTGGGGATCAAACCATCACCTGGTATTAAACTGGCAATCTTTTGGTGCCCTGGATGACACCCAACCAACTGAGCCACACTGGCCAGAGTGGATTGATGGATATTTATAAAATTTGAGGTTAAAACATTTGTTGGATTATTCTACTGGGTTTTTGTTTTTCTGTGTGTTTTTTAACTCTTGTGAATTATGAGTTAAAACAAAAACAAAAAACAAGGCGACTTGTGTTCTGTTAAAAGGGAAGTTGCTACTAGAGCACACCTCACGGTAGCACTTGCAGCCAAACAAATGAGGCTAAAATGACGTGACTTGTGTACATTTTACCAAGTAGATTTATCAAATTTGAAAGTAAGATATAAAGTGGAATGTAATATGAGAGTATTTTCAGAATGTGCTGAAAATTTGTTACTCTCTAAGGAATCGAGGTGAGTTTATTAGAATCTCTTGTGCTTTGTGGTATTAGGAGGCCTTACACCGGGAACAGATGTTGGAACAGAAGTTAGCCACGCTCCAGCGGCTACTAGCCATCACCCAAGAGGCTTCCGACACCAGTTGGCAGGTATTTCAGTTGCCTTTATTTACAAGAAGCATTTAAGTTTAATGTCCCTTAGATGTTGATTAAACTAAAACTAAAATTTTGTAGCAAGCAAAAGCAAAGTTTTTTTCTAATGAACAAATAATGAAAACTTAGCATTTTACATTGGATATTGGTCAGTTTTATGATTTTCATTTTTGTCCACAAATGTAGCCTTTTTAATAGGTTATTTTTAAAATTGCTCTGGGATTTTATTTGTACTTGATTTTTCTTCATTAGGCTTTAATAGATGAAGATAGACTCTTATCACGGTTAGAAGTTATGGGAAACCAATTACAGGCATGCTCCAAAGTAAGTATTAATCTCAAGTACATAAAGAAAAATGCGTACTTTTTATGTAGCTTCAGTTTTTTGTCTTTTTAAGTACATGCTAAAAACAATTATACATTTTCACTGTTCTTTTAAATCCTTTCTAATTATGGGAAATTTCAAACATACATGTATGTAGAAAGAATTGTATAGTGAATACCCATGTACAGCTCTTTATCTTTTTTCACAGTTGATATTTGTTGGAGAATCTGGGTCACTTGTCCTATATGATTTCTCTCATTCTGGATTGTTATCTAAACATTCTTCTAGCTCAGCTGGTGTGACTCAGTGGTTGAGCATCGACCTATGAACCAGAAGGTCACAGATTCGATTCCAGTGAGGGCACATGCCGGGTTGCAGGCTTCATCTACAGTGCAGGGCATGCAGGAGGCAAGCCGATACTCTCTCATCATTAATGTTTCTCTCTCTCTCCCAGTCTCTTTTCTCTTTGAAATTAATAAAAAATATATGAAAACAAACAAAAACATTCTAACTCCCCTTCCCACTTCTTAAATTGGTAATTTGATCTAGGGATTTGATTTGATTTATGTTCAGTTTTTTTTTTATGTGTGTGTGTGTCTTTTTATTTTGCCAATACACTTTATGAGTGGTATTGTGTACTTTTACCAAGAGGTAACATAATGTCTATTTGTCTTTCTTTTGGGGGTATTAGCAGTCATTGATGATTCTTGCCTAGATCTATTATTTTATTCAGGGATATAAAAAATGATGATGTAATTTTATCACCCCTTCATTTACTTGGTTAGCGTGAAGTACATTTTCTTTAGGAAAAAGCAGGATAAATGCGTTTCTCCCTTTATTTACTAAGTGTCAAGATAATGAATTGGTTCCTTCTCCTCCACCAAAGAATGACCATGAACTGTTTTATCCCCTCACTTAGATTTATATCTATTTGGTGTATTTCATCTTATAGTGTTTGTTTTCCTTATTGATGCACAAATTACCCCATCTTTGATCCATGAGGACTTCATCATGTTGGCACCTGAGTCCTTTTGATAGAACCCTAGCAGACTCTGTCTAATAGCTTCCTGCTTTCATATCAGACAAGACTTTCCAGGCTCATCTTGTACATTCCTGCCTCAGACTTAAAATCAGTTTTCCCCCATTATGTTCTTATTCCTTTAGTTTAACCATTGTTTTAAAATACTTGGGCCCTTTGAAGGTAATAGATTATTTTTCCCCATAAATGTAAATATTGTGGCTTACAGAGAATATGAAAAATAGTAGAGGTAATTCATTTTGTATAATTGAGAGAAATTCTTAATTGTCTTTGATTTTTTTTCTGTTGGAAGTATGAATATATTTGTGAAGAATAATTTACTAATGAAACTTTTATTGATTGATTGATTGATTGATTTTATTGATTTTAGAGAGAAAAGAAGAAGGGAAGGAGGGAGAGGGGGAGAAAGGGGGAGAGAGAGAGAGAGAGAGAGAGAGAGAGAGAGAGAGAGAGAGAGAGAGAGAGAGAGAGAGAGAGACATTGATTTGTTGTTCCACTTATTTATGCATTCATTGTTTGATTCTTGTATGTGACTTGACTAGAGATTGAAGCTGCAGCCATGGCATATCAGAACAACACTCTCACCTAATGAGTAATTTGGCTAGAGCACTAATGCACCTTTTAAATACAACTTCATTTAATTACAGGGCCAACACCATCTGTGTTTGAAGGTACGGAAAACCCTTGATTTTGTGGGCCTTGATTTAATGGGTTTCAGATTTAATGGACAGAATTTCTGATCCATATGTCATAGGTGAAAATTAACACCCTGTTAATTTTAAAATGTTTTTAACCAGAATTTGCTTATAATTAAATTAATGGGTTATTTTTTTGTTATTCACTATTATTTTTAACAAATTTTAGCAAATAAGTAAGTGTTACATATCTACAATTCTGGGCCACATATTTAAACCCAAAAGTCACCACTTGTAAACAATTTTAGCATGTGATCAGTTTGCCTTGCTTGCGGTAATTGGTTCTGTTTCCTTGGGGCCTGACTTTCTGCAACAGTTTTTCAGTTCTTTTTTGTTTTTGATTGATTTCAGAGAGAAGAAGGGAGAGGGAGACAAGGATAGAAACATTAGTGATGAGAGAGAATCATTGATTCGTTGCTTCCTGCATTCCTCGCCCCCTACTGGGGATTGATCCTGTAACCCAGTCATGTACCCTGATAAGAAATCAAACCATAACCTCCTGGTTCATGGGTTGATGCTCAACCACTGAGCCACACTGGCTGGACTTTGCAGCAGCTTTAACTCCTACTAGCTAAGCCACGCCTCAGCCATGTGTATTTGTTTACTCATAGTGATTGGTGAATGCACACGTTTATTAGACCTATTCAGTATAAATTTAAAATTATAGTAACACATAGAAAACTTTTCTGTGAAATTAAACTTTTCATACATACTTAATTTTAATTACACAAACATATCTACATAAATAAAAATATGTAGACTAACTTGTTGATTTTTAAAGAATATTTTTTAATTGATTTTAGAGAGGAAAGGAGAAAGAAAGAGAGAGATAGAAACATCATTGATGAGAGAGAATCATTGATTGGCTGCCTTCTGCAGCCCCCTACTGGGGATTGAGCCTGCAACCCAGGCATGCACTCTGACCAGGAATCAAACCATGACCTAGTTCCTAGGTTGATGCTCAGCCACTGAACCACACCAGTTGGGCAGATTTGTCAAATTTAATGTTATGCATTCGGGAAACCTTTATTATATTACAGGCTTTACACTTGGACAACACCCCCTCACCCAAATTAGTCCGTTATATCAAGGTTTTACTGTATCTTCACATAGAATTCAAAGGGCATCATAATGTATTATTTTTTCAAGTGGTAAAACTTTCAAAAAATAGCTTGGTTATAATTATAAATGTCTTTTAATCCTAGAATCAAACAGAAGATAGTTTACGGAAAGAACTCATAGCATTACAAGAAGATAAACACAACTATGAGATGACAGCCAAAGAGTCTCTGAGGCGGGTTCTGCAGGAGAAAATTGAAGTGGTTAGAAAACTTTCAGAAGTTGAGGTATTTCAATTTAATAAATATTAAATAGTAATATGATTTTTAAATTTTAGCATAAAATGGCTAATATTTCAGGACATTTTAAACTTGGATAGTATTATTTAGCTAGCAGATATTTCCTGTCCGTCATGTGGTAGGGAGCAGTGTGCCATTCTCATTGTCATGAAGTCTCAACATGACCAATAAAGTTATGTGAGTTCTCGTGATTATGGTACCTAGTTAGTGATTGAGGAAATAAAAGCCTAAGCAGGGCATCTTACTATTTGCACTCTACTTAGTATTCACCTTGCACACAGTGGACCAGAATATGTGCCAGGGAATTATTTTCTGTCACCTCACTTTGCTTTTCTTTCAGTTGAGGAAAATCAAGTATAAAGCAGAGAATTTACATCAAATGTTTTTACTTTACCCATCCTCCAGGGAGTAAAACTAACTGTCTTAACTTTAAAGATTCAAAGGAGAAATTATCTCTAAGGTCCTTCTTAAATCTTTTTAACAAATGTGGTTCTCTTTGCTTTAAAATGATCTTATTGATTACACAGGTCATTCCTTTGAACCAATGTAAAATTACCACAGAAGTTATCTGTTTCTGGATTTGGTTAAAATGCCCATTGTAAACTAAATAGTATACAAAACTCCATATAGGGATAGTTTCTATAATAGCTCTATCCCATAGTGACTGATTTATTGTCATGTCATTAACTTGACATGTAAAGAAAGAAAGTTCCTAGCTCTTTTTTATAACTTCCTTATTAAATTGATTGCTGCATATTATTGAACTTGCTTTCAGGAATTGAGAGGCTTAAAATGTTTTCAAGGCTAAATAAATGTCCTACTCAATGGTCTTTTAAAAGTGTCCCTGTTTTGTGTGTTTTTTAAATTCTTAGTTGTATTTTCTGTTTTAGCATCTGGAGTAAATTGAAATCCTTGTTATTTACATAAAGTTCAGGGCAGATGTTGATTTAGAACAGCCCACAGAGTTATACTTTTTATAAATGGACTTTAGAATGTGGATTAATCCTAAATCAATTGCCTGTAAACTTGAATTGCAGCGAAGTCTGAGTAATACTGAAGATGAATGTACTCACCTGAAAGAAATGAATGAACGGACTCAGGAAGAATTAAGAGAATTAGCCAATAAGTATAATGGAGCAGTTAATGAGATTAAAGATTTATCTGATAAACTGAAGGTATGTGTTTACTCAACCTAAAAGTATATTAAGTTATTGGCCCTAGCACAGTGGCTAGTTTATGAATTTAGGTATTGCGAAACAGTTGCTGATGTAAAATTTGGTAATCGTTGAAATTTATAGTAAAAATAAGGTACTTATATTCCACTAGAGGCCCAGTGCATGAAATTCATGCACTTGGGGGGTGGGGGATCCTTCAGCCCAGCCTGCGCCCTTTCCAATCTGGGACATTTCCTCTCCCAATCCAGGACCGCTGGCTCCTAACCACTCGTCCGCCTGCCAGCCTGATCGTCTCTAACTGTTCCCCTGCTGGCCTGATTGACACCCAACTACTCCCCTGCCAGCCTGATTGCCCCCAACTGCTCTCCCCTGCCCTCCCATAGCCCCCAACTACCCTTCCCTGCTGGCCATCTTGTGGGGCAATCATCTTGTGATGACGTGGAGGTGGCCATCTTGTGGCAGCGTGAGGGCATCTCGGGAGGGTGTGAGGGCCATCTAGGCTTTTATTAGTATAGATTTAGCCCAAACCCCATTGCCATAGATAATTGAAAGTCTATAAAAGTTGACATAGTTCTTCTTAATGGAAATAGTCAGTACTTTACAAAAGACAGCAAAACCCAAGGTACTAAAACTTTTAAAAAATGTTATCTTTAGGCAGTCCTAAAGGCAGGACCCTGCTGTTAGTGTTGAACAAGCCCAGAGAGAACCTTGGAGTGATCTGCTTGAACCCTGTAGCTTCCTAGGGGTGCCTTTGACTCTGCTTCTGCTTCGGCTCTCTGTAGCTATAGGACATATAGGATAAGAACAGGCCAGGTCATAAGTAACGGCAAGTTTGTCCTTTATAATGTTATAACTGAGCTTGTAAAGACCCATCTTCATGTAATTCAAACCATAGATTGAGTGGCTAGAAGAGATAATATTTGTTAGGAAAGGCGAGAGCATACCTCTTGTTGGCCCTGTTAAAAGGAGGTTGTTTTGAAAAGTGTTTGTAACCATCATTACTATAGATAAACATAATTTTGTTTAAAATTTTAGAATAAGTTTTATTTTAGAACTTACAAACTAATTGCAACAATAGTAATTTCATGGGAAAACCTTATTATTTCCCTTTTTAAAAGTCTGTTTTTCATTTTGACCACTTTATTTTTGTATATTGAATCTGCTTACTTGCTACAAGTTTTTTTCTCCTAGGTTATATAGAGGCATGACCCCAATGCAGATCACTTTTGACATCCTATTGCTATTTATAAATATCCTATATAATAAAAGGCTAATATGCTACCAGGAGTTCGACCAGGGGATGGGGCCAGCCCGCCAACCGCCAGCGGCCCCTCCCCTTCCAGCCTCACTCCATTGGCCCCTATGGGGGTGGCCAGCTGGTCCCAACCCATGCAGGAATCCGTGAACCAGTCCTCTAGTGTTCTATAATATTGAATATTCTCCTTAGAAGTTTTGTAAATAAAAGCAGTTCTGCTTTAGGTTTCTTAAAACAAGGTCAGGTTTTATTAAATAACTGAATTGTCTACTTCTTTCTCAACAGATAGCAGAGGGGAAACAAGAAGAAATCCAACAGAAAGGACAAGCTGAGAAAAAAGAATTACAACATAAAATAGATGAAATGGAAGAAAAAGAACAAGAGCTCCAGGCAAAAATAGAAGCTTTGCAAGCTGATAATGACTTCACCAATGAAAGGCTAACAGCTTTACAAGGTAAATTAGCTCATCCAGAAATAGATTTAATTTGATTTTTTCTTTTTATCTGTGAAATATCTTTTTCTTGGACTTTTATTTACAGTACGGTTAGAACATCTTCAGGAGAAAACTCTTAAAGAATACAGCAGCTTAGGTAGGTGTCATCAAATTTCTTAATTAAAGCTGAATTTTATCATTAAACTTTTGATGTTTACTATTTCACACTGGGTACTTACTTTAAGAGTTATATTTTACATATTAATTATAAAGTTTCTACACTCTTATGAAATTTCTTTTAAAAATATGCTTGATTGCCACCAGTGGGCACCATTGTTTAATCCTTTGAGATGAATGAAATTTTTGCATCTGAGATATTCCACTTAGAGATATTTAAATGAGAAAAATACAGGACCAGCTGGATTCTTTTTATTTTTATTCTTTCTTTATTTTTTTGAGGTTTATTGGAAGACTACTAAATAGTCTTTTCTCTGAGTTGATAGAGGATGGCAAGTTGGACAGTTCTTGTAAAAATAAATGTAAAGTATTAGTAGGAATACAAAATGGCATGGTTACACGAGAGACAGTTTTAAAGTAATCATTTCTTTGATCAGGCAATGATACACTGTCTTAATCCTAGGGATACAAGTTGATGACTTCTTACCTAAAATAAATGGAAGCACAGGAAAAGGTAGTGTAAAAAAACTTAAATATTTTTCTTTCGTGATATCCTTTTACTTAAGCAGGATAGAGAGGTCAGGTTTTTAAGGTTTTAATTGTTGGAATGAAAAGCATGCTATTCATAGACCATTCAATTCCTTTGTTTGTAATTCTTAATGCTATAATCTATGGTTGGGTATCCTTTGTTATATGGAAATTCTGATTATTTAAATAATAAGAAAATAATATGGCTTTCCTCCCACTATATTTTTCAAAGAACTATACTTTATTTTCTTTTATCAAATACAGCTTCCTGGGGATAATTTCCCCTTCCCCCTTAAAAAAAAAAAAAAAAAAAAAAAATATATATATATATATATATATATATATATATATATATATATATATATGTTTATTTATTTTTTTATTTCAGAGAGCAAGAGAGAGAGGGAGAGAGAGATAGAAACAGCAGCGATGAGAGAATCATCTATCAGCTGCCTCCTGCATGCCCCCTACTGGGGATTGAGCCTGAAACCTGGTTATGTGCCCTGACCAGGAATCTAACCCTGACCTCCTGGTTCATAGGATGATGCTCAACTACTGAGCCACTCAGGCTGGGGCAGTTCCCATTTTTAATATTTGTGCCTCAGCCAAGAGTTTACTTAACAGCCTATTGAGCCCTTGAGCATGTTGTAGAAATTGCTTTTTTTTTATTCATTTATTTCATAGATCAGAGAAATCAGGGCCAGTCATTTCTGCCATCTGAAAAATCCTTTTATTTGTTCTTGATACTCTGATTCTTCTTTCTGGATAGTTTGGGTAATCTATAGTCACTATTGGTTTTCCCAGGCTTCTAAATTCCTTCATTCATCAAAATACCAACATACTCCTCCCTTCTGCATCTATCTAACTTTGAGTACCAAATAAGTGTCAGATTCTGCATTAGATGCTTGGAATACAGAATGAATAAAACTGTTTTCTGTGTTTGCAAATCCATGTGCTTCTCAGCTCAGTTTTTATATAGATATTAGTGGAAGCTATCAAGGTTAATACCCAGAACTTCTTAAATATTATTTTCTTGTATGAGGGGATATCTTTCTAATTCTGGGACAGCAACCAAACTCTGACAAAGTTAGAAGGCACCTTTTTTTTTTGTTTATTTTGTTTTTATTTGTTTTTTTAATTAAGTATTGGCAAAATAGGCTCAGGTAATCATGTTTCTGTAAACTGCAAGGTCAAGACCTAATATTGAATATGTAATGAATTTTGAAACAATTTTTTAAAAGTTTCACTAATTATTGTTATTTGACTGTTCTATATATGTTTTATAAAATATATTGACATTTTAAAATTCCAATTTGATTGAGTTCCAATTTGAGAATTTTTAAAGGTGTAGTTTTATTCATTGTATTTTTTTCTGTCTCTTAAGTATATTAAGCAAACAAACGTAAAATGACTTAAGTATCATCGTCTAAAAGCTTGTCATCCTTAAATGATATTTTTTCCTGTTATTGATTGCCTTTTTATTATCTTTCTGGCATGTGCATTTTTTTCAAATACATCCCCCTTTTGATTTAGCATGCATTTATTTAATATATTAGTGTTAACTCAAGCTAAGAACATTCTGTTTCTTTAGTTAAGAGATTCCTTGAATATATTCTGAACCATCTTTATACTATTTAGAGTTGTCAAATTACTGCTTACATTTTTTTGCCAGTTCCAATTGATGTATATGAGAATACTTGTAGATAACTCCTTGATTTAAGACTGAATAAGATATTTGGGATACTTTAAGGTATTTCTTGCTATTGCTATTTTTCCCTGCTGGTGTGTACGTTTTTTGAATGGTAATAAATTGAGTAGTGTGAGAGTAACTAATGGAATATCTTTAAAGAAACAGAGTAATAACTATCTGGATATGCACAAAAACTTCATTACATCAGATTTAGTTACAGAGTGGATTTTGGAATAAGTTGAATCTATTCTGAATTATTTGTGATAAAATAACAAGTCAGTTATCAAGTATTCCAGTGTTACCAAAGTCCATAGCCATAATGGGCGATCAGACATGATTTTAACTAAAATTACTCTATAAATAATAGAAAAACAGCTAAATATAGAAGAGAATATTTCAAAAATGAGAGGTTAAGATTAAAACTTCTCCTGTAAACTCCATTTTTGAAATTAAATCTAACATGGCTGCTATAAGTACAGATTTGTACTATAAATTTTAAATGTATTTTTTTAATAAGCATAATTTGAATATATTTTAGAGGGTCTAGAAAAACACTGTCTAATACATTTTTTTCCTTATAGCTATTTTCACGGACCTTAATAACTTCAATGTCTTTAAGGCTTGTAACAGGGCTTTACTATTGCCAGCTTTCTCTAAATTTCTGCAGAAACACGAAAGCCACATACATAATTTATAAAATTTTTTGGTCACTACATTGAAAATATAAAAAGAAACAGGTAAAATTTCATAACATATTTTAATAATAGAGTTAAATAACTCACTATATCCAAAATGTTGCTTTAATATGTAGTTAATATTAAAAGATTATAAATGAAGTATTTCACATTCTTTTTTTCTTCTTCATAAATTTTTAAAATCAGTCTATATTTATTTTACACTTACAGCACATCTCACTTTTTAAGGGCTCAGTAGCCACAAGTAACTAATGGCTACTATATTGGACAACACAGGTATAACAAATAAAAATCCATTAGGAAATTCGTATGTATAAATAAAATGCATTTTAAGTATCGTGGGTCTCTATTATGTTTCTGTATCTGTCCTTTTCTTTCTATCTCTACAACCCTATTTAGTGTCATAGACACACCACACTCCTTTTGGATTATCACTAACATCTTTTAAAGTTTTGGTAAAGTAAGTTCCCAAGGGCCAGAATTCAAATAATAGGGTATTAAAAGTGTCATGATACAATCCTTTACATATATTATCTGAAAGACACTTCGCTAGTGTATCTGAGGAGATGGCTTTGTGGAAGTCATATGTATATTTACCTTTTCATATTAACCTTGTATTTCTAAACTGGTGTAGTAAACATTTTCATGTAGAATCCTGATATTAAAATCCGAGTAGATAAAAGGATGATGACTAATGGTGGGATGTCCTGCATTAATAAAAGTCATCTAACGTCCTGTGATGTTAGTTTGAAATTTGGTTTCAAATAAGTTTTAAGAAGTCCTTTAGTTAGAGTTAAAATTTGGTTTCAAATGAGTTTTCATATTTAGCAGTGATGTTTGTATAATTTAAGTTCTAAAAAATGTTATAGCTCAGATAAGATTTATGTAAAACATCTTTTTTTTTTTTTTAACTTGGTAATTGCTATTGAATTGAGGGATCCTGTTTTGGATTTTTTGGCTCCAATTGGTGAATGCTATTTATTAAACATTTTTTAAATTTCAAATTTCAATTACAGTTAGTATTTTTCTTTTTTGGTACTATATTGTATCTTTGTTCTAGATATGTAAGGCATTAGTCTCTAAAACATTTTCAGTCTTTCTTCCTATGTTTTTGTCTTGTACTGATGGTGATTATAGACTGGAGGCTCTGCACACATGTAACTAGATAAAGGACAAGGGTAGATTTGAGTATGAGACTGAAGAAGGCTGTCAGTAAGGAAGTCAAGGGGGCTGATGAGTGATCAGGGGAGGAGTTTCCTGTCTCTCAAGCAAAGTTGAGATGAAGGGTGAGGAAGAAGGAGGAGAAGAGAAAAAAGGAATTTTACAGAATGGTACTAACTCATTTTCCTCTTAGACAGGTCTAGTGCTTTCACACCTTCCAGATAATCATCATGTTGGAGTATATTTTTAACACTTGAACTTCTCAAAGATTCAAATATGTAATTGAAAGATGTTATCCAGATCTAGAAAGTAACTATTTGAATCAAAGTAAAGATTATTGTAATAAAAGAACTAAAACTTTTACTAAACTACTGTGTTAGATTTTGATTCTCTGCACTCATTAGAAACCAAAAAACAGCCGAAACCGGTTTGACTCAGTGGATAGAGCGTCGACTTGTGGACTAAAAGGTCCCAGGTTCAATTCCGGTCAGAGGCATGTACCTTGATTGTGGGCACATCCCCAGTGGGGGGTGTGCAAGAGGCAGCTGATCGATGTTTCTAACTCTCTATCCCTCTTCCTCTCTGCAAAAAAAATCAATAAAATATATATATTTTTTAAAAAGAAACAAAGAAAAAAAGAAACCAAAAAACAAAATTCTATTTGACGTAAGGAAAACCATTTACCAAGCTCCTATTTTCAAATGTGTAGGCATTTATTTTAATCATTTGAACAGAAACAATATAGTGCTTTGATAGTATATGAAGTATAGATTAAAAGGCTCAAAAGGTAAGATTGGCCCTGATCTGGTGGCTCACATGTTGGAGTGTTGTCCCAGACCAAAAAAGTTGTGGTTCAATTCCCAGTCAGGGCATATTACTACATTTTGGGTTAAATCCCCAGTTGGGAGGCACCTGATTGGTGTTTTTCTCCCTCTCCCTCTCCCTCTCCCTCACCCTGCTCTCCCCCTCCCCCGCTACATCCCCCTTCCCTTTCTCTTTGTCTCTAAAAATCAATGAAAAACATATCCTCGCTTGAGGATTAAAAAGAAAATTATATTTTAAAAAAGGAAGACTGAAATGAAAGTTTAAAAATTAAAATATTACAACATTTTCTTTAAAATTTTAAAGAATTACTTTATGGTATTCTTAAAATACCTTTCCTCTTAACTAAGACAAATAGTTTCAAAAAGGGTGTTAGAAAGTCATTTGAAAATGTATTCAGTAAGAACAAAAGTAAAATTTTGAAATTAAGATTATGTATTAAGCTCTCATGGAGAAAAGTATGTTTTTAAAATGTTACAAAGTCTTTAAAGCAATATTTTTCTATGTTGTTGTTGTTGTTGTTTTAATAGAAGTTGCACCTTTAAAAGCTAACCATTCAGGGTATAAAATAATGATTATATAACTACAATTTTTAGTCATTTCACTTTAACTCCAAAA